TAGAGAGAGGCAGTAGGACAGAAAAGAATGTATTTAAAATAATGGAAAAGAAATGATTGATGTCTTTAAATTGATGGATGGGTGTAATGAGATAGAGAGAGGTAGTAGGAGAGAAAAGAGTGTAATTAAAATAATCGAAGATTGAATTTAACAATGTTTTTAAAGAAACAATAATACCATATATATACTTAAACAAAGTTGAATTGAAATCCAAATTTCCAATTGAGGTGTGAAGAGGAGGTGGGAGGAGGAGGAGGTTGGCTACACGTTTTTTTTGCTTTTCTATTTCCATTTTTTGTTTGTCCAAACAGCTACAAAACAGGTCATGGTCCGGAAATGACAAAGACGACGATCTCGGGTTCCGATTCAATGCCGCCTCATAACCCTTTTTTTAACTTTTTTTATTATCCGGAATTGCTTTCAATAACAACGCCAAGCCTGCTCCAACAATTTTGGTCTAGCAATAGGTGGCTGCTTCGTTGTTTTGGTTTGTATTGTGGGAGAGCAAGGTGGCGGGCAAATGTGAGGGAGAAGCTGGAGCTTGGTTTGCAAGAATAGTAGATATGTTGGTGTTAGGTTAGAGGGTTAAGAATGATTAAAATTTTAATCATTAAATTAATTTAATGTTGTTCAATATATACCCCTCTTAAGATTTTTTGTGTTTAAACAAAATTCCCTAGATTTTTAAAAGAGAGATTTTATTTGAGCTCAAATAACTTCATATGACTTAAAACCAACTTTAAATGTGGATTGTTTTTTTTATTATTATTTCATAATTTTCATCAAGTAAAAGTTGGAATTAACAATAAAACTAAAATTTATGAATAAATTCACATTCAATAATCAAACCTACATCACTCAATATTTGTCATACGTTTTCTAGTGTGTTAATATTGCTTGCAAAAATATGTTGTTTCGACTTGCATGGCCTGTCTTATGATATATGTTTATGCAAAGGAGTCTGGAACGTTCGATTTCAAATTTCTCTTGCCATAAATTATGTGAATTTAGAGCATATCCAAATATGTTATTTCAACTTGCAAGAACGATCTTATAATTCTTGTACGACACAAATAAAACATGCACACTTGTGAAAGTCGAAGCTACATGAACAAAAACAGTAACATTTTGAGTAAAATAAATATACGTGACCAAGTTTAAAAATCTAGCTTGTCTACATGGACAAAAACAGTAATATTATCCATAAAATGTATAAAGTTGATTGCAAAAGGAATGCAAGGGTATGATGGGTATCAGTGGACTGAGAGGTGGGTGGGTTTTGGTATTAAGTCGAGGAAGTTTTGCACCAGTATACCGTTGCGGTGGCTACATGTTGTTTGATTTTCAATTTTCCTTTGTCCAAATGAATCTTTAGTGCGCCATTCCTGCCATCTGCTACCTTTAAAGCCCTATATATACAGCTACAGTCCTCCATTATATACAGCTACAGTCCTCCACTCGCTCTCTCCCTCTTCTTTTTCCCTCTCTTAGCTCTCTGTAGACTCACTGCCTCTTTCTTCCCCTCTCTTCCTCTCCCTCCCTTGGTATCGTCCCAATGCCTCCTTACCGCCATTGTATCCTCATGAGTTAGCTATCATTATCCCTTTTATTTACGGATCTATTTTCCTTATTTTTGTTGTGTAACCCTGTTTTTCTTACCTAACCGTAAGACCATCGGATGATGGGGAGGAGAATGGTTAGCAGGGTCAACAAGCAGGCTGTGGTCAACAAAGGTGCGGCGGCTGTGGCTGTCGTCAACAAGCGCACGATGGTTGTAGACGAGGTCAACAATCACCATCTCCGACATCTTGTTGATCTCGTCTACGGCCGTCGCATGCTTGTTGACGACGGTCACGACAGCCGCGCTCTTGTTGACCACGGCCTGCTTGTTAAACCCGCTGACCATTCCCCTCCTCATCCTCCGATGGTCCTACGGTTAGGTAAGAAAAACAAGCGCACATGATAAAAATGAAGAAAATAGCTCTGTAAATAGAAGAGATAATGATAGCTAACTCATGAGGATACGTTGGCAGCAAGGAATGAGGCATTGAGACGATACTAAGAGAGGAGGAGGGAGAGAAAGAGAGGAAGGAAAAAGACAGTGAGTCTACAAAGAGCTAAGAGAGAGAATGAGTAGGGGGAGAGTGAGTTAGTAGAAGACTGTAGCGATACCCTCAAAATGCATAAATTAAACATGCAATTAAGCCAATAGGTAAAGAAAAGTTGTGGTCAGAAAATGCTAGGCTGCCCTCTCTCAGCCTGCAATCAATCAGTCATAGCTTATCACATCTTTCATAGGTTCGTAGGTTCAACTGGTGTTTCCAAATAAAAGATGTGGAAACAAAGAATTTTGTTTGTGGTCAGAATCCAAATACGGGTTTCACATATAATATTACCATTGTACGTGTCAAACGATTATCACTTACTAATTATCTCCACTTTTTGAAGTTTCAACCATAAATATCTAATGGTGGATACGGCATTCGGTTTGTGATAAAGATGAAATTATTATTTCAGGGTAGGTTAGAGTTCGAAAAGGATTATTTTCGGATCTTTTTCTTTTTATTCATCAAATTTAAAAATTTAAATTATTAAAATTTAATTCAACAATTATAAATAGAGGTTCATTTTAAAAGTTATAATAATTTTAACCGATAATGTTTTTGGTTTTGTTTCTCAGCATAAAATCAACACGGATTTTGGTTTTGTTTCTTAACAAAGCAGATAATAACTGAGAGTTGTGTTTATATGTATTAGAGAAAAGGTAATTTTAATGAAAAGCTTTCACTATTGTTTATTTAACGAAAAATCGTATTTTTACACTAAAAAGTCAATCATGATATTATTCATTTTACCTTTTATTTTATCCTTATCTTTAAAATTCAATGTTTTTTTAACCTTTTTTATTATTTTTTCTTTAAAGAAAGTTGGATATGACAATTTGATAGAGCCCTATTTATAGAGTTACTCGCCTCAACTCATTCACTCACCCTCTTTTCTTTCTCCCTGTAGACTCAATCTCTCTCTCCCTTCCTTATTTCGCTATATCCTCTCCTTTCTTTGTTAGCTTTATGTAGACTTGCAGCTACTTCCCTTCTTGACCACCGACGCTGACATGTTGCTCGGTAACCGATGGTTGTTTATGCAACTCAGGAGCCAATGTCCCGTCTAAGCATTCTCCTCTTTTCCCTCTTAGCTTTCTGTAGACTCATGTGAGTCTACAGACATGAGTCTACAGAAAGTTAAGAGAGAGCGAGGAGAATGCTCTCTCAGGACAACCACTGGCTTCTGAATCGCATGAACAACCATTATTGAGCCACATGTTGGCGTCGTGGTCAAGAAGAGGAGTGGCTGCTTAAGTGGAAATTATATTCACCAGAGTGGCTATATTCTGTCACGTATTCATCATGCCCTCTATTTTGTTTATTCCAACTTTCCCAGAATTAATTCGAAATTAGTTGGATTCTTAAAAATTAGATGCGTTGGGGAATTAATGTAGATTTTTTATGAGTTTTATAATTGTATTTACAAAACATCATCGACCTAGAATAATATGCCTCATCCTACTAAATTGTTCATATTACCTGATTTCTATCATCCTATTTCTAAGACATATTAGAACTCTTAACTTTTGTTTTTTTTAGACTTTACCCTAGATATAAATATCTTTATTTTAGTATATTTGATAATGGTAAATAACTTAAATGTTACAAGTATAGATTACTTGGTTTATCTATTACAACTTTCATCTCTTTTATTTTGTTTAAAAGTTATCAGGAAACTGTAATTCAGAGATTTGAGAATCTGCAGACTGTTTTCTCATTTTTAAGTTATGTGCCTCCACACTTACTATACAATTCGCTGAACATGAATTAAATTTAGTGAAATTTTTTATTTTTTCTACCCTTATGGTTCGGGTTGTCGTTAGGTTCAATGCTCTAGCGACAGCATAAATTACACTGGCAGTATATTTAATCTTCAACCAATTTCATATACATTCTGCGAATTGCGTAAAAACAAATGTCTAAAAATGAAAAAACGGTCTGTGGATTCTTAATCTTCTCTATCACAGTTTCCTGATGTTTTTTAAACAAAAAATAAAGATGGAAGTTGTAATTGATAAACTAAATAATTCATATTCGTAATTCCTAAATTTTTTATTTTTATCAATTAGTTTTATGAAGTATATTAAAATAACAGTATTTATTCTGATAGTAAAGATCAGAAAATTTAGGGCTCTCTTATATCTTAAAAAATAAGATAAAAAGAAATTAGGTAATACCAACAGTTTGATAAAGTAGAGAAGCATATTATGCATTCGTGTTCGATAATATTCTGTAAATACAATCTTAAAATCCATAAATATTTCTATTAATTCGACATTCAATTCCTAAGAACCCGACTACGTGGTGATGGCTTAGACCAGGTGGAATGAACAAAATAAATGGCCTATGCCAAATTCAGACTTTCTAGACAGAGGTATATTGTTCGAAACTCAATTATGTGGTTTAGGGGCTATGGTCCTTCGACATTCATCAAAACGTGCAATTATGATCTTTTAATTAAAAATTCATTATTATTGATCCATCAATTTTAATTCAACTTGAGAAATGATTCCTTAATTTTAACCTAATTTGTAGTAATGATCATTCCAACATAACTCATTTTGACAAAATTTTTGACGTAGTTGATGAAAAAGATCATAATTACACACTTTGATGAGTTATGGGACCCTTATTACACACTTTGACCAGTTGAAATATGAGATGGTGTCTTTTGTAATTTTAACTTATTGTGCACATATGTTAAAGCAAATTTTAGCATATAATATATAGAACTTTAATGAAAAACTTTCGGTATTATTCGTTTTAATGAAAAATCATATTTTTACATTAAAAAATCAATTTTGATACTATTCACTTTACCCTTTATTTTATCTTTATCATTAAAACTTAAAGTTTTCAACCATTTTTCATTAGTTTTCCTTATAACCTATGGCTTGGTAAAAAAACAGAAAGAAAAAGTAGGTATAATTTTGTATATCAAGTGTTCTAATATAATTAGTTGAAAATATTTTTTTTCTTCAAATTTCTAAGTAATTATGTTATTACATTTGGTATACCAAAATATATACCAGACTTCCAAGACCCACAGACACATCTTTCCATATGTTACAAGTCTTATGTAATGGAAAGAGTTTTGTTTACTTCTTAAAATTTAGGAGATTTTGTGAAAACACCAGAATTTTTAAGACATGTAGTTGAAATTAAGCACCATTAAATTAACTAAATAATTAAAGTGTTAAAATGTACCTTTCTTAAACGAAAAAAATCATTGGGTTCTGGAAGTTTTGAGTGTGCCGTTGCGGTCACATTGGCTATATATTTTTTATTTTTCTATTTTCCTTTTTTACTTGTCCAAATAAATCTGTAGTACGCCATTCCTGCCAGCTGCCACGTACAACAAATCCCTATTTATACAGCTACTCTCCTCCGCCCATTCACTCACCACCTTCTCTCTCGAGTCCGTCTCTCCTTCCTTTCCTGCCCCGTCTCCCCCTCTATTATCTTTTCTATACTCTCTCCCTCTCCTTTTCTAAAATGGATGCTCGTGTGAATATCATTTTTCCTTCCATTTACGCTGCTAGTTTCTTGTATTTCATAATGTACGCCCGATTTTCTTACCCAACCCAAGGACCACCAGAGGATGGGAAGGGGAATGCTCAGCCGGCACAACCAATGACTCCTGAGTTGCATGAGTAACCATCAGTTCCTGAGTAAGATGTCGGCATCGGTGGTCAACAAGGGCGAGCAGCTGCTGAAGTAAAAATCAAATTCAACAAGCGAACGGTAGCCTTTTATATCTTTCATGTATTTGATGTGCCTTCTATTTTGTTTATTCCAGCTTTCTCTGCAATTACATGAAAGTGGTCAGGGTTTTTGAAAAATGGATATGTTAGAGAATTAATATACGTTTTTTTAGTAAGTTTTAGGATTGTATTTACAGAACATCATCAAACTTGAATACATAATATTCCTCTTCATTTCGCGTAACTTTTCATATTACCTGATATCTTTAATCTTATTTTAAATGTTACGGAAAATGAAAATGAATATTATGTATTCAGGTATAATCTGTAAATACAGTCTTAACTTATAAAAATACCTATTTTAATTCTCTACCGTATTCAATTTTTAAAAAACCCGACTACTTTTAAGTAATTGCTGAGAAAGTTGGAATAATCGTAATAGAGGACACGATGAATATGTGAAAGATATGAAAGGATACCGTTGCCTTGGTGAATATGATTTCCAGTTCAGTAACTGCTTCCCCCTGTTGGCCATCGATGCCGACATGGAACCGGTGGTTATTTATGTGACTTAGGAATCAATGGTTGTCCCGGCTATTCCCCTCCCCTTTCTTCGGTTAGGTAAGAAAATCGGACGTACATAATGAGATACAAGAAAATAGCTGCGTAAATAAAAAGAAGAATGATATCTAAACGAGCTTTCATTTTATAAAATGAAAAGAGAGAGGGACTGAGTTTATAGAAAGCTAAGGAAGAGACAAAACAAAACAGGAGGGGGTGGGAGGGCAAAAAATCTGCCTCCCATAACAATACCTCTATTAATTCTCTAAAATATCTAAGCTGCCCTCCCATAAAATTACCTCTATTAATTCTCTAAAATATCTAAGAACCCAGCTACGAGTGATTGCTGAGATGGTTGGAATAAACAAAATAAATGGCCTAGAAGGCTGCCAAATTCAGACTTTCTAGACAGGTTTATTGTTCGAAACTCAATTCTGTAGCCTAGGGGTTGTGGGAAGCCTTCTTACAAACTCGATTAATTCAACAATGTTTAGCTTGAAAAAATCCTACAACTTGCTAGAAAACATGGTGGGTTTAGAATCATATCTATCTGTTCACTAAAACGAACATGCATGCTAAGAATGTTCACATAAAAGGGGGAGTTTGAGTGAGAAAATGAAGCCTTATCAAGACGATTCAGTTTTCGTCGGATTTCAATGATATTAAGACGGAAAATTTTCGTTTTCCTCCGAGTGTGACATGGCCAAAAAGTTGCAGAGTCCCGGATAGTTATGAGAGTGTTTGCTGACGCCTGGTGGAGTTTTGAGGTGGTGATGGTGTTTTGTTGTGTTTGGCCGAGAAGAGAATAAAAGATTAAGAGAGACGTTGGTGGGATGTGAAGGATGATGTTTGTTGGATGACAAATTAATGAGATAGAGTGAGGTAGTACGACAGAAAAGAGTGCATTTTCACTGTTTTTAGCTTAATTTGGCCGTTTGAAACTTTGATTTGAATTTGGCCTGCAGTTACGTGTTCGTAAAAATAAGTATTATTTAAAAGTAGTAAAATAAGAATAAAAAGTGAAAAAAAAAATTGAAGTGGGAGGCGTACGTAGCATTTCACAGGCGTTTGGATAATTTTATTACTATTTAAAATGAAATAAAATAAAATTTTCACTGTTTTTAGCTTAATTTGGCTGTTTGAAAATTCGATTTGAATTAGGTCTGCGGTTACGTGTTCGTAAAAATAAGTATTATTTAAAAGTAGTAAAATAAGAATAAAAAGTGAAAAAAAAATTTGAAGTGGGAGGCGTACATAGCATCTCACAGGCGTTTTGATAATTTTATTACTATTTAAAATGAAATAAAATAAATTTTTACGACTGGATGTCACATGTGGAGTGCTAATATACTATAGTTATTTATAGCTCCTTCTTAGTCGTTATTTTTATTTGTTTCAAAATCTGTATGCTATTTTTTTATTCTTTTTCATTATTTTTTCCCTCGTAGACCCATATTTAGTTTTTCTCTCCCAATATGAAATATGGTATGGTCGACTGCTATTTAAATTAAACAAGAAAACTATACTTTCCCCATAAACGTAGGAAAATGGTTTTGAAGAATCTCATCTCATGCATGGGATAGGAGGGTTTGGCCGAGTTGTTCGGAGATTTTACTTGATTTAATCAAAATTTATTAACTAAACACTAGTTGAAATCTGCGAGGTTGTTTTTTTTTGTAATTTTAACTTATTATGCACATGTGTTAAAGAAAATTTTAGTGTATAACATATGGCTCGGTTAAAAAAAAAAAAAAAAAAAAAAAAAAGTAGTTATAGTTTTGTATATTAAGTGTTCTAATATAATTAGTTGAAAATATTTTTTTTTTCTTTAAATTTCCAAGCAATTATGTTATTACACTTGGTATACCAAAATGTATATCCGACTTCCTAGAGGCACATACACATCTCTGCATATGTTACAAGTCTTATGTAATTGAAGGAGTTTTGTCTGGTTTTTAAAATTTAGGGGGTTTTTATGAAAACAGGAGAATTCTCAAGAGCTTTATTTGAAATTAAGCACCATCAAATTAACTAAATAATTAAAGTTTTAAAATGTAGCCTGTGGCCGCGCGAACAAGTAGCAGGAAGACAAGAATAGAGAGGAAAGGAAGACTATAAATCCATTTCATTCCTTGTCCGTCTTCGTTGTGTCTCTCCCGTCTTTGCTTTCCCATTCCATTTCCTTTCCTTTTGCTTTTCGGCGGCATTTCGTCGAGCAGGTTTTCTTCGATGGTTTTTTTCACGAATTGTTTACACTTGCAACAGACATGTATGGTTCATCTTATTATCCGTTTTAAATGTGTGCTTTTCTTTTAATTACAGAAACCATGATCAGGTTGTTCAAAGTGAAAGAAAAGCAAAAGGAAACAGCTGAAAACGCGAAGGAGAATGGTCTCGTAAAGAAGCAAAGTGCAGGAGAATTACGTCTTCATAGAGGTAAATTAATATAATTTTAGGACTGCAATGTGGTACAAAGTTATACTCTTGCACGCATGTTAAGTTCCTAAATACACGTTTAACTCCAAAGTACGTAAAGGCAAGGTTTCAATGTTTATTTCAATTCCTTCAACTAGTCCTTCAATTGTATTATGACATAATACCGAGCGCAATGACGTTTTATAATTCATATAGCAGACCCCACTTAATAGGAAAATGCTTTATTATTGTTGTTGTTGTAGTCCTTCAATTGTATTATGTTGTTGTCTTGTAGATATAAGTGAGTTGAACATGCCAGAAGAATGCAAGATTTCATTCCCCAATGGAAAGGATGATTTGATGGACTTTGAGATCACCATTACACCTTATCGGGGATATTATATGTAAGTAACCTTTGATCTGAAGCTTTGGATTTTGCAACTTCGATGTCATCTTGCTGAATCCGACATTTTGTGCCTCTTTTCGTAGGGGTGGTGGGTTTGTCTTCACATTTAAAGTTCCCGCAGTCTACCCTCACGAGCCTCCGAAGGTCAAGTGCAAAACCAAGGTAACGAAACCTAAGTTATATCGGAACTAAACTTTCGAGTCTATTGGTTACGATCCAAACCATCTTATATATCTGGTGTTGTATAATGCATACCAATCTGCGCAGATCTACCATCCCAACATCGACTTAGAAGGAAACACTTGCCTTAACATTCTTCGGGAAGACTGGAAACCTGTCTTGAATATAAACACTGTTATTTACGGATTGTATCACCTATTCACGGTATCTCTAATCATAACGTTAAATATATTTCGTGACCCCAAACAAATTATCCGTTCTTTTTATGCTAGGTTTTATTTGGATGTGTACTTTGTGTGGACTCAAATCCTTAGTTTCTTAATGCAGGAACCTAACCATGAGGACCCCTTGAATCAAGAAGCAGCAGATCTTTTGAGGGACAATCCAAAATTGTTCGGATTGAACGTGAGAAAATCGATCGAGGGAAACATATGGGTGGGAGGCGCCCATTTCCCTGGGTGCAAAACAGGCGACTTCTACTGATTCGGTTTATCTAGGGTTTTGCTTCTCCGTGGTCCAACCATGGTTGTATGAGGTTGAAGGTTTGTGTGTTTTTGGGGTGTTTTTTGCATTTCGGGTGAGTACTTGGTGGGGGATTGTCTTGTGGCACATTTTCAGCCCATACTTGTAGCAGGAGAGTGTGTACTAGTGTAATTTTGATCTTCCTTCCATTAATAACATGGCATCATGTTAAGGCTTGATTTTGACTTTGACTATATCAATTTAATTGAATCAATGTCGTGGCCGTTGTTTGTTGATTGTTTGATAATTTGGGGGTGCAGTTATTAATAAAACAACAAAACATATCGTGTTTCCTAATTCAACCCCAATCATTTACGGTCTTGTCCTGTGGCAAATTTTCGGGCCATAATTTGGGGGTGCATGTATAAAATCATAACTATTATATGCATGATTTAACATTTTGCTCATTCGAAGTATTAGATTAAACAAGTGAAAACATACGAAACTTTAGAGAAATGGGACTACATAGTGGTGGTATCCCAATCCCTTATGCATCGTCATGTGCTTTAATTTATTGAAATAATATTTCATGATTAGTTTAAAACATTATCACCTTAGTATTTTAGTTGTATGCAAGTTCTTCTCCCAAAGATGCATGAATGCAAATTGCAATCAGTTTTTCAGCGTGTTTGATTTGATCCATAACCTGTTATTTTGGGTTGGGCCTGGTGAAATGGGCTTTAAATGTTAGAATTGAAAGCCCATTATCTTACCCAAAAGCCGTTTTCTTTCTTCCACCTGTGCAAACCCAAATCCCCATGCGGACAACAAATCAGAAGAAAGAGGATCCTCTTTTTTAGGATATCATGAATCTTTTAATCATATCCGTTTATCGTATATTGTGTAATAAAAAATTATTGTAAATCTTTTATTTAAAATTAAATATAAACAGTACATAACAAAAATTGATCATATAATTTACGATGAACGAATGTAATTGAAAAATTTACAACATCCGGAGAGAATGCTCGTTCAAAGTAGAAAAACCCAACCAGAAACGTGGGTCCCATTGAAACGGCCGGACCCGCGGGAGAATTATTAGTTCATCGGGAAAAACAGTTATCTAATCAAAATCCACGCGGCGAAAAGCGTTTCTCTCTCACACACTCGCAACGGAGACCCGCTCACCTGCGCTCAGAAACACCATGCAAAAGATAGGTCTTCAATCACTGATCGTATATATACCACGATCCTAAACTAACGGTCCTTGATTAGTTGTCGCGAAACGACTATGAGTGCAACGACGCCGACCTCAAGGCCTTTCAGTGCACCCGCAATGCGTGGTATCATTTCTCGGCTTCTTTTTTGTTTCGGCTAACACTGAGAGGAGAGAGAAGTAGAAGAGAGAGATTCTTCCACACAAACCAGCGAAAAAGCGAAAGCGCATTCCTCGTGATTCTGCCGGGTTTAAATCCCCTGCGACGCACCTGAGCTCGACCATTTACAATCTCTGCGGCCGAGAGAGAGGTAGAGGGAGCTAATTGGTTCGAAGAATGACGTCGGATGGGGCGACTTCAGCGGCGACGACGGCGCGGAGGAAGCCGTCGTGGCGGGAGAGGGAGAACAACCGGAGGAGAGAGCGGAGGAGGAGAGCCATCGCGGCGAAGATATTCGCCGGCCTCCGAGCTCAGGGAACTTCAATTTGCCCAAGCACTGCGACAACAACGAGGTCCTTAAAAACAATAGGAGAAAGTAGAAAACAAAGAAAATTGAAAGAAACCAAATAATCTCAAACTAATTGAACACCTAATTTCTGTAAATCCAAAATTAATAGCTCCTTATACATAGTTGCCAACTTATTACAATAAACCACAGCAATGCATAATAAGCTTTACAACACATTCTAATTAAAATCTACGGAAAAAAAAATGTTTAAGTTTTTTCCATTTTAAAATCAAAGAAACAAAACCCACAAATTTAAATAACCATGTGAATCTTACCCTCAAATGTTTCATAAGCATAAGAACCATCTAAGATGTTGTTCTCCCTTTGCAAATGCAACCTGCAAAACAAATCAAGCAACCAAAAAATAAACGAAAGGGTAAGTAACAAAGCTCAAAAACCCTAGGACAAAAATGTCATAAACAGGATAAAAATGGTCAGCAAGTCGAACTCCGACAGAAAGCTCAAATACTCCCTTTGATAATTTGAGCAAGTCTAACAAAGCTCAAATACTCCCTTTGTTTGCAGCTGTTGCTCCCGTTTGAAAGGTGCTTTTTGGTGTTTTTGGTTGAGCTTTGGCCACCTTGCGTTTTATAGGAAAATTTTATGATTGATCTTCGACCTTTTCTTTTCCTGTTCTTTTTTCTCTCTGTCGTTCCGTTTCTCTTTAGTTTTCCCGTCTGTCTTTTGATTTCGGTTCCGATCGGGTCTTCTCGAAGGTGTTTGGCCTTTTTTTCCCTTGTTTTGTACAAACGAATCGCTCCCGTTCAGGTACGTTGATACATGTGTTGGTTTATTTTCTGTTTGGTTAGGAAGAAAATTTTATGATTGATTGTTGTGAATTTGGGCTATTCGGCTTTTTTGCCCAGCGATTTCTTTGTTTTTTCGCGCTCTACGTTTGGTTGTTATATCTGATTTTGCAATGTGGTTGCAGGAAACATTTTTCTTCGAGTTTGAGGGTTTTATTCTTCCTAGCTTTTTCTGGGTCAGGTATATAATTTATCTCTTTGGTGTTGTTTTTTTTTTTTTTTTTGGGTTTTTTGATTGTTTGTGCTTCGATTTTTCCCTCAAACTTAAAAATAAAAAAAAAAAAGAAAAAAAAAACGAGGAATACTGATGATTAATTTTTGGGTTTTGCTTTGTATGTTTCGGTTTTGTACTGTGAGTGAGGAATTTTTTATTTTGGTGTTTTAATTAAGGGCTAAACATTTCCAGCAACACAAATGGATGATCATGATTAATTTTTGGGTTTAATTTAGCTGTTGATGATTGTGGATGAGTTGCGAAACGTCTTTTCGATTATGTGATCTGTGCCTGTTATGTTGTTCTTATCTTGATTATATTTGATTGAGGTCATGATGATTTATGGGTTTTTTTTTAAAATAGGATCCAGGTCTGAGCATTCTGGTTAGCAGGCCCGCTTAGTTGAATAAGCTAAGTTTCATGGCTGACATCGACGTACTGCTTCCACTGCCTTTGTTATGTTTTCTGTTAATTCGTAACTCATCTGAGAGATCATTTTTTTTTTAATTGAATTCAATTGGATAAGTTTTTTATTTGAAAACCTGGGTACCTAGATGCTCTAGAGAGCATTTTGAGTCATCGATACAATACTGTTGTAATTTAGTAGTTGTGCAGTTTGAGAACTGGTGTGTAGTTGTTTCTTCAGCAACCTGACTAACCTGATCTACTCAAGAAACCAAGCTAAACTGCTTATTTGGGCATTATTGACAACCTAAATGGTTTGGTTTGGCTTGGCTATAATTCATATGAATCTGAAGTCGTTAGTTCTGGTGTTAGGAACATGGAGCAATATGCATATGTACTGGTGAAAATACAAGGTTGTGAGTGTGCTGATTCTTTCTTTGTATTAATTGAGCTTATAATATATTTTAAGGCCTCAAATATAGATTTGTTTTTCGTATCAATTCTTAACTTATCGGTGTTAATAGAACTGATTTGGTTTTGTAGATCAGAATTTTTAAACGACAAAATTAACCTGCAAATTCAGTTCAGGTATCAATGTTTGCACTTATTTAGATTGTTGAATTTATCTTTACCTTTACTAGATTTTATTTTTCTATGTTGTTTGATGCATTATCGTGTTACTTTATTATTAATAAAACTAATTTGGTTTTGTAGATTAAGATTTTTTAGTGAGAGAATCAAGTTCAAAATTCAATTGAGGTATGAATCTTTTTGCTTATTTGGCCTGTTGAATTCATGTGTGCAGTTTGCCTTTGCTGCATTTTATTTTTTACAGTTTGGTACATTTTGGTATTAATTTCATTGTAATTTTATGGATTTGAAGTCGTTATTTGGATTTTGGACTGTGAGAAGGATCTGGTGGGTATAAATCTTCACTTCTTTGTATTGCAGCTCATTTTGATAACATTTATAATGGTATATAAATCTGCTGGATTAATATTCCTGTTTAATAGTGTTGTTTATTATGTGTGACAAGTTATATTAGTAACATTTACACTGTTATCTGTCGTAGTTAGACTTGCTGACCATTTTTATCCTGTTTATGACATTTTTGTCCTAGGGTTTTTGAGCTTTGTTACTTACCCTTTCGTTTATTTTTTGGTTACTTGATTTGTTTTGCAGGTTGCATTTGCAAAGGGAGAACAACATCTTAGATGGTTCTTGTGCTTATGAAACATTTGAGGGTAAGATTCACATGGTTATTTAAATTTGTGGGTTTTGTTTCTTTGATTTTAAAATGGAAAAAACTTAAACATTTTTTTTCCGTAGATTTTAATTAGAATGTGTTGTAAAGCTTTTTATGCATTGCTGTGGTTTATTGTAATAAGTTGGCAACTATGTATAAGGAGCTATTAATTTTGGATTTACAGAAATTAGGTGTTCAATTAGTTTGAGATTATTTGGTTTCCTTTCAATTTTCTTTGTTTTCTACTTTCTCTTATTGTCATCTATTTTTGTGACTTATTCTTATTCTGCGGTTGTAGGATTATGTTAGTTTTGCAGAACATTATTATTTAGTCAGTGGTGGTTCTGTTTATGCCTAGAAAATGGTTAGCTAAGTGTATTGACACATGGTCTTTTTTATCAATGTGTTGTAAATTTTTTTATGTGTTGTGGTTTACTATGGTAACTTTTTGCAAGTATGTATAGGGGGAAATGCTTTTGCTTTCCCCTGTTTCCTTTTTTTTTTTTCGCAGAAAAAAAAATTTCATGCAATATTTTTCTGTTTTTGTTAAAATAATGTCCTGATGCGATTAAGTGCCTAAAGGTTACACAGTTGGCCTAAGTTTTATACTCTAATATATTAAGTATACATGAAATATCTAGTTTATCTTATTTATTGGCTATATATGTGCTGCTTAGCAATTTGATTAGCTGAAAAATTTAGCCAGCAAGGCAAATTTTTTTATGCTAAAACTGTTGCAGAGATGTTAGTTAACAAAAAGTGGGTCACTGTTTTTATCTTCTCAATTAAGTTTTAGAGAAACATTTATAATTTTTTGAGGCATTATTTCATCCTTTTTCCATTTAAGTTTTAATTGGCATTTCATCTTTATTTGAATTCTTTTTTTCGTTTCAAATTAACATTGCTTCCCACTTGACTACATGCTTTCTGTACAGATTTCATTTTGTGGCAAAAAAATTTCATTATATATACCTATCATTAGTCAAATTCAAACTTAGCAATAAGATAACTTTTTCATTATATACCTATTAATTCTCAATTCCGTCATCAGAATTGCTCTTAATCTCAGTTTCTCAATTCTTTAGCGTCTAGAACACCCATTCCAAAACACTAGCTTCATTCTTACTAATAGACTTTATCTTTTATGTTTAGCATAAATTAGATAACAATGCATGATAATGAATTACAAATTGTTTTTTATTTCTTATATTCAAATTTAGTTTTTGCTCTTTCATCCTACGTATGACTCCTTGTTTCCATCCATCTCAACTAATTACTATATATTATTTATTAACTGCCATAGAACCCTTTTTTAACACTGTATTTTACAATTTTAGGGGAAAAAAAACAGCTAATTCAGCATGGGATATACAACATTGACAAATACAGTTTCAAGCAATGAAGACACAAATATTCAAAGGTATGTAAAATTAATTAATTGTTTTGTTGACGTTCTACATTTAATTACAATTTTTACTAAGCTTTCTCTTTAGGCGAATTAGCTATTACTAATATATAAATATATATATGTATATATATACACTAGCTTCTTTTCACTAGAGATAAAAGTATAAAAGTTGACATTTGCACTAGAGATTTACCCTCTCCACATATTTTAATTTAATATCTTCTTTCACAGATTTACAAAATATGGGCAGGATTTATCTTTAGTGGAAGGATGTCTGTTTATACTTTTGAATATTGGCCTTAAATCTTTCACTAGACAAACAAATAATAAGCCATGTATTCACAATAAGTTAGAAGAAGAAAGTATCTATATAAATTGATAATAGTTAATTCCTCTGAAGAGAAGACAAATGATTATTCTTACTCCAGATAATCAAAACTAAGTTACCAATTTGCATAAATCTGATCCATCTTAGAGCACCATTTAATTTTGTTTTAAAAATTATAAAATTGGCAAATAAACTGCTATTTAATCATAGCATGATTTGCAACACTTTTGTAACTCTTATATACCGCTATCACTAAAAATATTTTATTGCATAAGACACCAATTTCCATCTTTGTTGTACTAAATTGCAACAAACTTATCTTTTCTTGGATGTTATTCAAATTCTCATTCCATGTATGTATCCAATTTCACTTACTCTTTTTTTCTCAATACATTTGTCTGTATAAATTAATATAACATTAGCCAAAACTGTACAACTTACAAAATTATGTTTCTAGTAAAAACCCTAAAACCTTCCGCTTCTCTAATACTGTATAAATTAATATAACAAAAGCCTCGTGTTTTAGAATGATTTAGAAATAGGAAGGTGGTTGTGTTATTATACAGTATTAGAGAAGCGGAAGGTTTTAGGGTTTTTACTAGAAACATAATTGTGTAAGTTGTACAGTTTTGGCTAATGTTATATTAATTTATACAGACAAATGTATTGAGAAAAAAAGAGTAAGTGAAATTGGATACATACATGGAATGAGAATTTGAATAACATCCAAGAAAAGATAAGTTTGTTGCAATTTAGTACAACAAAGATGGAAATTGGTGTCTTATGCAATAAAATATTTTTAGTGATAGCGGTATATAAGAGTTACAAAAGTGTTGCAAATCATGCTATGATTAAATAGCAGTTTATTTGCCAATTTTATAATTTTTAAAACAAAATTAAATGGTGCTCTAAGATGGATCAGATTTATGCAAATTGGTAACTTAGTTTTGATTATCTGGAGTAAGAATAATCATTTGTCTTCTCTTCAGAGGAATTAACTATTATCAATTTATATAGATACTTTCTTCTTCTAACTTATTGTGAATACATGGCTTATTATTTGTTTGTCTAGTGAAAGATTTAAGGCCAATATTCAAAAGTATAAACAGACATCCTTCCACTAAAGATAAATCCTGCCCATATTTTGTAAATCTGTGAAAGAAGATATTAAATTAAAATATGTGGAGAGGGTAAATCTCTAGTGCAAATGTCAACTTTTATACTTTTATCTCTAGTGAAAAGAAGCTAGTGTATATATACATATATATATTTATATATTAGTAATAGCTAATTCGCCTAAAGAGAAAGCTTAGTAAAAATTGTAATTAAATGTAGAACGTCAACAAAACAATTAATTAATTTTACATACCTTTGAATATTTGTGTCTTCATTGCTTGAAACTGTATTTGTCAATGTTGTATATCCCATGCTGAATTAGCTGTTTTTTTTCCCCTAAAATTGTAAAATACAGTGTTAAAAAAGGGTTCTATGGCAGTTAATAAATAATATATAGTAATTAGTTGAGATGGATGGAAACAAGGAGTCATACGTAGGATGAAAGAGCAAAAACTAAATTTGAATATAAGAAATAAAAAACAATTTGTAATTCATTATCATGCATTGTTATCTAATTTATGCTAAACATAAAAGATAAAGTCTATTAGTAAGAATGAAGCTAGTGTTTTGGAATGGGTGTTCTAGACGCTAAAGAATTGAGAAACTGAGATTAAGAGCAATTCTGATGACGGAATTGAGAATTAATAGGTATATAATGAAAAAGTTATCTTATTGCTAAGTTTGAATTTGACTAATGATAGGTATATATAATGAAATTTTTTTGCCACAAAATGAAATCTGTACAGAAAGCATGTAGTCAAGTGGGAAGCAATGTTAATTTGAAACGAAAAAAAGAATTCAAATAAAGATGAAATGCCAATTAAAACTTAAATGGAAAAAGGATGAAATAATGCCTCAAAAAATTATAAATGTTTCTCTAAAACTTAATTGAGAAGATAAAAACAGTGACCCACTTTTTGTTAACTAACATCTCTGCAACAGTTTTAGCATAAAAAAATTTGCCTTGCTGGCTAAATTTTTCAGCTAATCAAATTGCTAAGCAGCACATATATAGCCAATAAATAAGATAAACTAGATATTTCATGTATACTTAATATATTAGAGTATAAAACTTAGGCCAACTGTGTAACCTTTAGGCACTTAATCGCATCAGGACATTATTTTAACAAAAACAGAAAAATATTGCATGAAATTTTTTTTTCTGCGAAAAAAAAAAAAGGAAACAGGGGAAAGCAAAAGCATTTCCCCCTATACATACTTGCAAAAAGTTACCATAGTAAACCACAACACATAAAAAAATTTACAACACATTGATAAAAAAGACCATGTGTCAATACACTTAGCTAACCATTTTCTAGGCATAAACAGAACCACCACTGACTAAATAATAATGTTCTGCAAAACTAACATAATCCTACAACCGCAGAATAAGAATAAGTCACAAAAATAGATGACAATAAGAGAAAGTAGAAAACAAAGAAAATTGAAAGGAAACCAAATAATCTCAAACTAATTGAACACCTAATTTCTGTAAATCCAAAATTAATAGCTCCTTATACATAGTTGCCAACTTATTACAATAAACCACAGCAATGCATAAAAAGCTTTACAACACATTCTAATTAAAATCTACGGAAAAAAAATGTTTAAGTTTTTTCCATTTTAAAATCAAAGAAACAAAACCCACAAATTTAAATAACCATGTGAATCTTACCCTCAAATGTTTCATAAGCACAAGAACCATCTAAGATGTTGTTCTCCCTTTGCAAATGCAACCTGCAAAACAAATCAAGTAACCAAAAAATAAACGAAAGGGTAAGTAACAAAGCTCAAAAACCCTAGGACAAAAATGTCATAAACAGGATAAAAATGGTCAGCAAGTCTAACTACGACAGATAACAGTGTAAATGTTACTAATATAACTTGTCACACATAATAAACAACACTATTAAACAGGAATATTAATCCAGCAGATTTATATACCATTATAAATGTTATCAAAATGAGCTGCAATACAAAGAAGTGAAGATTTATACCCACCAGATCCTTCTCACAGTCCAAAATCCAAATAACGACTTCAAATCCATAAAATTACAATGAAATTAATACCAAAATGTACCAAACTGTAAAAAATAAAATGCAGCAAAGGCAAACTGCACACATGAATTCAACAGGCCAAATAAGCAAAAAGATTCATACCTCAATTGAATTTTGAACTTGATTCTCTCACTAAAAAATCTTAATCTACAAAACCAAATTAGTTTTATTAATAATAAAGTAACACGATAATGCATCAAACAACATAGAAAAATAAAATCTAGTAAAGGTAAAGATAAATTCAACAATCTAAATAAGTGCAAACATTGATACCTGAACTGAATTTGCAGGTTAATTTTGTCGTTTAAAAATTCTGATCTACAAAACCAAATCAGTTCTATTAACACCGATAAGTTAAGAATTGATACGAAAAACAAATCTATATTTGAGGCCTTAAAATATATTATAAGCTCAATTAATACAAAGAAAGAATCAGTACCACACTCACAACCTTGTATTTTCACCAGTACATATGCATATTGCTCCATGTTCCTAACACCAGAACTAACGACTTCAGATTCATATGAATTATAGCCAAGCCAAACCAAACCATTTAGGTTGTCAATAATGCCCAAATAAGCAGTTTAGCTTGGTTTCTTGAGTAGATCAGGTTAGTCAGGTTGCTGAAGAAACAACTACACACCAGTTCTCAAACTGCACAACTACTAAATTACAACAGTATTGTATCGATGACTCAAAATGCTCTCTAGAGCATCTAGGTACCCAGGTTTTCAAATAAAAAACTTATCCAATTGAATTCAATTAAAAAAAAAATGATCTCTCAGATGAGTTACGAATTAACAGAAAACATAACAAAGGCAGTGGAAGCAGTACGTCGATGTCAGCCATGAAACTTAGCTTATTCAACTAAGCGGGCCTGCTAACCAGAATGCTCAGACCTGGATCCTATTTTAAAAAAAAACCCATAAATCATCATGACCTCAATCAAATATAATCAAGATAAGAACAACATAACAGGCACAGATCACATAATCGAAAAGACGTTTCGCAACTCATCCACAATCATCAACAGCTAAATTAAACCCAAAAATTAATCATGATCATCCATTTGTGTTGCTGGAAATGTTTAGCCCTTAATTAAAACACCAAAATAAAAAATTCCTCACTCACAGTACAAAACCGAAACATACAAAGCAAAACCCAAAAATTAATCATCAGTATTCCTCGTTTTTTTTTTCTTTTTTTTTTTTTTTTAAGTTTGAGGGAAAAATCGAAGCACAAACAATCAAAAAACCCAAAAAAAAAAAAAAAACAACACCAAAGAGATAAATTATATACCTGACCCAGAAAAAGCTAGGAAGAATAAAACCCTCAAACTCGAAGAAAAATGTTTCCTGCAACCACATTGCAAAATCAGATATAACAACCAAACGTAGAGCGCGAAAAAACAAAGAAATCGCTGGGCAAAAAAGCCGAATAGCCCAAATTCACAACAATCAATCATAAAATTTTCTTCCTAACCAAACAGAAAATAAACCAACACATGTATCAACGTACCTGAACGGGAGCGATTCGTTTGTACAAAACAAGGGAAAAAAAGGCCAAACACCTTCGAGAAGACCCGATCGGAACCGAAATCAAAAGACAGACGGGAAAACTAAAGAGAAACGGAACGAAGAGAGAAAAAAGAACAGGAAAAGAAAAGGTCGAAGATCAATCATAAAATTTTCCTATAAAATGCAAGGTGGCCAAAGCTCAACCAAAAACACCAAAAAGCACCTTTCAAACGGGAGCAACGGCTGCAAACAAAAATGAAAGGGCAAAATAGCCAAGTTACAGCACAATTCCACCAAAGTCCAAAAACCATGAATAAAATGAGCAGTACCCATCCGCTGAGCTTTACTATATATAAAAAATGTCTCAGGTTACCCGACTCTCACTACCCAAATTAACCTTGTAATGGCCGATGAATATCCGCTAAAATAGGTTGGGTGATCGAATAATTTGACATGAGTGGTGGGGATATCTTGGTAAAAGAAAAAAGAATACTCGGTAGGTTTTGCAATTGAAGTATGTGAGGAGGTTGGTGGGTGAGAGTACTGGGGTGTAATGACACTCATTTAAAGTTACCATAAAGTTGGTGGTGTCTGTATAACATATACGACAAGGGACCAAGGATTTGGTAGGGCATATCAATGGAGTACGTGCATGCATGCAACGAAATCACGTTATTGATCAACCAACCAGGACTTCTCAGTACGCACTATTTTGTTGTTTTTACTTTCTGCTGCTTTATTCACATCAATGCGTTTCGGGTTAGAAAACAGAGAGAAGAGAGGGCTCGGCCTTGTCAGTTGTCACCATCCCAGAAACTGCTTGGTTAATCGCCGAAGGATGATTTGAAAGAAATTTCATAAAAATTATAGCAGTCGGTATGGAACCAGTCGTAGGAAAAGTGCACTAATTACTAGTATGATAAAAAATTGAAGTTTTGCATTAGGCAAAATATAGAGATGCTCAAACAGAAACGGTGAAAAATTATCAAGTTGACACAAAATATTTGGGGATGAGGTAACAATTTTCTAATTTTTTATTAGCACCTACTTTCCGGTTAACTTATCAGTTCAGCAATTGCTCTCCTTCCTGACCATTGTCGTCGACATATCAGAAAGGATCCGAAAGAGTCTGCAGACCATTAATCCTTCATTCGTTATTTTTGTGCCCTGCTTTTTTTTTCACCGACTTTAAATCTCTTATCACACTAGCAAATTTTATACATAAATCTTAAAAAAAAATTACAAATTATAAAATCTAGGATCAACAGAAGCAATTACAACATTTCAGATATGGGATACAATACCTTTTCATAGTCGGGAAACGATGCTAAAAAGCCTCTTGTGTTTCAGAATGAAGTATACCCTTGCAGGGACGAGATATTGCCTTAAAAATACATTTTTTCAACTTGCATGGCCAATGTTATGAAATTTGCTTATGCAAAAGAGTCTAACGCGTTCGAGTTCAAATTTCTCTTTTTATAAGTCAGGTAAATTTAGGACAAATTGAAATATATTATTTCAACTTGCATGATTGATCTTATAATTTTTGTGTGAAACAAATAAAACATGGACATGCACAATTGTGAAAGTTGAACTTGTAATGAGCCAATAGGTCAATCAAAGTTGTGACCCTCCCAGCCGGCAGCCAATCAGTCATAGCTTGTCACATCTTTCATAGGTTCAACTGGCATTTCCAAGTAAAAGATGTGGAAGCAAAGAATTTTGTTTATGGGTCAGAATTTAAATAAAGGTTTTACATATAATATCACCATTGTCCGTGTCAAACGAATATCACATACTAATTAGTAATTATCTCCACTTCTTGAAGTTTCAAACCATTAATAGCTAATGGTGGAAACTACATTCGGTTTGAGATAAAGATGAAATTATTATTTCGAGGTAGACCGGAGTTCAGCTCGTTTGATATCTTCATGATTTAAACAATAAGATTCAACTAGGGGTCCAAGTCGGAATGGGATTTTAATTTTCGACAATAAATTTTTTGAATCTCATCACAAAAATTTTCGACAATAAATTTTTCAAAAGTCGAAATGACAATCATAATGGATTTAGAGATTCTGATTAGGAATTTTCGATATAAATTTTTTTATTTCAAAAGTTGAAATTTTGTTTTCCACAAGCTAAGTGAATTTAGGGCATATCTAAATATTTTATTTCAACTTGTATGATCGGTCTTATGATTATTGTATGAGACACATGAATAAAAATAGTACCATTTTGCATGAAATGTATGCAAGTGACCGGGTTTAAAAATTTAGCTTTTCTACATACTTGCATGACTACATGGACAAAAACAGTACTAGTATCCATAAAATGTATAAAGTTAATTGCTAAAGGAGTGCAAGGGCATAATGGTATTCTGGTTATCAGTGGACTGAGAGGGATAGTGGTATTATGTTATAGGAAGTTTTCATAGTGTTTAACAAGTTTTATGATGTCAATTAATGATTTTTCATTATTTGTCAGAATCTAAATATTTTTATGTTAAAATGTTTATAAAATTAAATTATAATAGTTTATATAATTTTTTATTTTAAAAAAACTACTTTAAGAAAAAAATTAATTTAAAATTATTTTTTAATAATCTGAAACTAAAATTTTAGATAAAAAAATAAGAACAAAAAACTATTGAAGATGGTATTAGGGTTAGAGTAGGGGCAGGGGTAGGCACCCCCGAGCTAAGACTCAGATTGGACAAGATCAGGTTATCTCCTCGGATTTTGGTACGATGTAGGCAGCTTATCTCCTCAGACTATGACCTCATTGACCTGGTCTGTGGCTGATGTAAGTGGAGACGTCCAATTGGTACAAATTCGTTGAACATCATGGATCAAGAGTACAGCATTACAATGGCTGTGATTTCGTTCACCTACCACAGGATTTTGCGTTTATGGAGTTATTTATGATAAGGCAGATTGCATACAAGCCTATACAAGTAACCTGTTTAATGGCCGATCCTTGGTATAAGGGCTTATGCTTGGATGGACCTTCAGTTACACTGAGTCACCTAAAGACAAAAGGATTTCGAGTGATCAAATTGGAGTGTGATATTTGATGTGGTCCACAATGGATGGAGGTTGTTGAACTTAGTGATCGGGCATTATTTATGAGCTATGAAGTATGGATATAGATACTGATATAACAATACGATATAACATGATAAGATGACACAAAAAATTTATAAAAATTTAGATACTATACGCTATGGATACGGAAAATAAAAATACATATAGCAACAAAACTATACATTTTAAAACATAATTAATCATTTAAATATAAGTATATTTGAGTTGTTAAAGAATAAAACTTGGAAATTATTTGTACAGTAGAAGAACTGTGAGAGTCCTATTTATGATATGATGTAGTCTTTGTACCATTTTCTAGCAACCAAACATGCAAAAATGGACTTAAATTAATGAGACCCCAACAAAAGTACACTAAATTAATGAGACCCCAACAAAAGTACACTGGGCAGGATAGAGATCGCATGTACATAATTATATGTGAGATTTAGTACGTAGTAGGCATGCATCCCATTGTCCAATTAAAGCACAGCTTAAATTTTGATAGAGAAATTATAAAGCAATAGAAATTCCCATGCATACCTAAATAAGGAGATCATCATTCGCCATTATTTATACTACGCGAATAGAAACTTACTTGCATCTTAAACGTTAAGATGTCATTAGTTATAACAGTATTTTGAATCAATTACATATTATTTTGTTGATTAATTTTTCCTCGTGATAATAAATAATAGGTTTGAGATCTCACAACAATGACATTGATCATGACAATTTAAATTTGCGTACCTGTAGTAATGTTATGTATTATGCATTGATACACACACATATATATAGATTCATATAAAATTGCAATTTTGTGTAAATAATTGAGAGATGAAGTCATTATTTGCTGTTTTGAGGATGATGTATATATTCATATACAATTGCAATTTTGTATAAATAGTGAAACCTTGATGGATAAGGTAACTGTTTTTGTGTAATTTTTCCTAACCCCTATCTGACTAGCACCTAGTGCAGCTTTGATGGATAATGTTACTGTTTTTGTGTAATTTTTCCTAACCCCTATCTGACTAGCACCTAGTGCAGCATTGATGGATAAGGTTACTGTTTTTGTGTAATTTTTCCTAGCCCCTATCTGACTAGCACCTAGTGCAGCTTTGATGGATAATGTTACTGTTTTGTGTAAATGAAATGATAATCCTGTTTCATGTAGTCAGATAGGGGTACTGGCACAATTTTTTATGCGCAGCCCAAGAAATGTCACATTAGATCATGAAACATCGTTTCATCTATTGGGCATGACTTGCACCTGCAAAACTCCATGCTAGGCTCAGTAACCCTTTTGGATTATAGGTCTCATTGTGTCGCAGTTTTCGATTACGAAAATACAGATAAATAAGATTTACCAATATAGTAATAACTAATCTCCGAGCTCAGAAGCACAAAAAGCAAGACAACACCAAATACTATGTCAGGTACACTGAGTATTGGATACTTTAAAAAATAAATTTCATCAGTTATATTATAACATTTGGTATAATATACCGTTTTCGTGGCACATTGAACAAGTCCTTTGAAATGGACACACTGAACACTTCCTCCAAAATGCCAGCTAATGACTAACCTAGACGTGAGAAGAACACGTTGAGTTCTCCTAAGATCATCTTCAACCGAAAGGTGCACAAGGTAGAAAAATACTCGAAAATCGTCTCTAACCGAGGCTATGTCAAAGGGTTCGTGGGCCTCATTAGACAAAAAAGAGCCAAAGTACCAATCGACTGGCCTAAATGAGCCAGCCAACCTGGGGTTGAGCCAGAATTTTGAGTATTCCTGTTGGATATATCCGACAGGAATGATAGGTCAAAATTTTAATACAATGGCTAGCTGACGTCAACGTCCGTTATTTTTTTTTTACTGTTTTATTTTTTTATTATTCTTTTTTTACAATTTTTTTTCCTATAACTTTATTTTACAAAATTTGTTTTATATTTTTTTTCCTATAACTTTCTATGCCATTATACAATATTAAATTAAATTAAGTAACATGAAACAAATTTTTATATGCATTTTTTTGTAAAGGATTATATCATTTTCCTTATGAATTTGAATTTGAATTTTTTTCGGCCAAAATTTGTAAAAAAATATTAAAAATTTCTCATTTTTTCCCTATAAATTTAAGTTGTAGTTTTTAAACATAAGTTGTAGTTGTTTAAATTTAAATAATAAATTATATTTGGCCCTTTGGTCATCGATTAAAGAATGTTTTTTGTGACAGCGTTAAAACGAGCCCAATGGCCCTTTAACCCTCGGTTGGAGATGG